ACATAAGTTATTGAATGACCCATGTTAAATAAAACGATCTGATAAGATAAACAAATCACTTATCGGTCATGCGTCATTTTTGATTAAAATTTCAATTGTTTATTATTATTATTACTAATATTTTATATTCTAAAGAAACTCCACTGAGGTTTAAAGGCCTAAATATATAACATTTGAATTTTTACATCAATTAGCTGGGGTACTTTAAACAGAAATATATGCAAAGGTAATCAAGAAATCAAGAAATATCCTTTGAAATAAACTGAAAATAGTATTTTCATGCTTTTTTACCCGATTTGAGTGAAAAGTGTTTAAACGCGTTTCATTTTTGGTCATTTCTTTACAATTTGAATAATTATTCTGGAAAAACGAAGGGTGCGAATGATCGGAAATTTTGCACAAAAATTAGTGGTCTAAACCTACATCAAATGTTACATTTATCTAGAAAAAAATATTTTCAGTCCCATCAAGTCAAAAAACCTCAGTGGAGTCCTTTTAAATGATTAAATTAGTAAGTTTTTTTTCTGAATTTAAAATAAAAATATTATGTCCTGACATTGTAGTTACGAGAATTTAACAACTTTTGGTTGTGAACAATTTTCTAGAGTATTTCGTAATAGTATGCAACATTTTCGTATGCTTAAAAGTAATAGCAACTATAATTCTAAAATATTTGTTTAAATCGTGAGTTAAATTTATACATTGTTTAAACTCTTAACACTAGTTTCCCTTTTGAAACTGGATAAAAACAATCGATTTATAAACTTATCATTTAACAAACTAGTTTGTGTGTTTGTTATGATGCATTTTAAATCTAATAGACACCTTAAAGATAGTGTTGATCTAAGGTGCCCATTCCTGTATCATTTCAGACACGAGTGGGCGGGCGATTGAACCATCAACCTCCCTAAAACAGCTGAACTGTTTTCTCAAATGAAAGAATCAACGTGATTTGAATTCATGGCGATGAGGAGTAACTTATTTGAAGTAAACGGTTTTAACCACTCGGTTACGAATGCTCCTATGAAATAGTTTATGAAAAGACAGTAATGTCCCTTAGATAAAACATTCAATAACATATTTCGGTGAACATGTCAGGTTTATATTTGAAGCGAAAAAAATGAAGAAAACAATTAATCATGAAACACGAAAAAAGCAAATCTACATAAATTTTACATTGAAGTGCATTCGGATGGGATATTAAAGGCTATGAACCAAACGTTTCTCAGGCAAACACAAAAAGGCATGATGCAAAAAAAAACACTAAATGGCCAAATTAAGTTATTTGTTGCAATCAAAGTTATATGTAAATTAAATTAGAATAATACTTTTGATTCATCTGAAATTTCGTCCTTATTCTTGTCTGATTGAGTATCTCTGTCACCGTGTACAACTTCAGTCTCCTATTTATAAAAATAAATGAACATATTATGGGTTGATTCCAAGTAAATCATTATCGGCCATGGTTCATTTGATTACAATTTCAATTTTTAAACTCAGTATGACAAATACAAACAAATCTAAGAAAATATAATTTAGATAAAAACCTTTAAACAGACCTTGACTATATCTTCCCCAGCTTTCCTTTTATTTTATAAATAGTTATGAAAGATAAATTTTAATTGGATTATCATACTATTATAATTAACATACGTCTGACTGATGGAATAAGAAATAAAGGTTGATTTTGAAATTTTAATCATGGTACTATATATAAATAGATTATGCTCAGACATTGTACAAGATTTTATAACTTATGATATAGAGTATGTCTTAATAGTATTTAGCATGTTTGCTTTTTGCTATGCTTTAGTCTAGTTTTGTTTGATTTTGTTAGATTTTAAGTGACATCGACATTTTATCAGTATGATCTAAGGTCCAAACTTGTATATAATTACTGATGAGCGGATGATACTGAGGAGCGGATGGGCGCCCGAGTAGAACCATCGATTTTTCATAATAGCTGGATAGCTTCCTCACTCTAAGCGAAAAGGAGAAAGTGATTTGAAGTCTAATGAAGCTAATAAGCCATAAGATGCTGGCCCTGACTGATGCATATACGTACGAACCGACAAGATAAGTTTACTTCCACGTTTTAGCAATGCGTTAACAGAAATACAGGGTCGTAGTCCATACATTTCTAAACTTTGTCGGCTAAGAACCATTGACACACCTTTACCCCTGGTTATTAAGACTAGACTGTCTCGGTATCGAATTAGTGCATACAAATCGTAATACTTAATTTCCTTATGTTGGCTATTATTTTACTTCTCCCATTTTCTGAATGGACACAGACTTATTCTTACACATGCATATTAAATATTAAGGAAGATAAGTACAAATTACCTGTCCCATAGATGCAGATTCCATAATGTTCGACAACCAATTCCAAAATATTATAATATTCATGTTAGAATGAATACACATATAACATATAAAATACATTCATGAATATTTTTTAAACAATCGGAAACAAAATAGCTTACTGCTTTAATAGTTTCTTGGTCCTCCGTATGTATTTTCATTTCGTTTGATGACTTGGGCTGACTCTATAATAAATTAATTAAACAACAATTTGAAAAAAGTACATTTACAAGTTAACTAAACATTTATCTAAATGATTACTTAATTTAATAACACCTAATTTCTCTCTATCAAAGATGTAACCTGGTAGACAACATTTACTTAAAAAGATAGTCTACATAACTACTTTTCAGTGCTTATTTTAATATTTGTTATAAATTATTAACTGTTGTACTAACATTTATAGCATTTTCTACATGCTCATTAAAGCTAGTTTCTGCTTCGAAATGGCTCTGCACATCATTGTCTTTCTGAAAACAAAGTATATTTTTGTACGAAATCAAATACACATTTGTTTGAAATTACAGAACCGTAGATAAAAACCAACTTTTTGCAACATATTAAGATGACAATGACTCAAAGTTTTCTACAGGATTTCACAAGCACACCAGTATATCTTTAAAGATATAAATTAAAAGGAATACAGTTTACTTTAAAAAGCAGGTATTGCGATAGAATGTGCAGTAACATTCTTTCATTAATCATGTGATATCATATCCTCATGTACATTGTGGGTGTTTGTTGGAAGAACAAGAGAAAAGAACGAGGGACAATTGAGTTAACGTTTCTCAGACAGCCATAAAAGGCATATAACATGTAAGCTATTTATCGCAAAGAGTTAACAGTACAAGTTATAAACAAGAGCCAGTTGAACCGGGTGATGCTCCAAATCAGGTTTTGGACACAGAGAAACTACTTCTTGTAAATAATACTTGTTGTTTTAGAGTAAAATGGAAAAAATGCAAAAACTCTTATATAAGGCAAAGCAGAGTACCGGTATCTTTACATTGAAATTAGTCTTAATGAGATTTATTAACATAAACGTTTCTTGTTTTAGTGTTATGTCCCACACAAACTTCAGTGTGTAAAAATAAACAAATGGCAATTACCAAGATTAAGGCAAAGCGGAGTGTCGGTTCTTTTGCACTGCTCTTCTTCTCAATAAGGTCTATCTACCTACAAAGTTTCTTGTGGAAACCTCTTGTTGTTCAGATTATGTCACGGGAAAGAAAACGGGATGGACAGACGGACAAGGCGGCGACTATATGCTTTCCCTTAGGAGGGGTCGTGCATATATTATGACGTGGCGTCAGTTTCGTTACATAAATATTGCGTTTGTTAGCGTTCTACTATAGGCGTATCAATGAAAAGTGGTTCCTTTTCACTTAAATCGGTCTTTATTTTTGGTATGTGATAAAAGAATATTAAATTCTGTAAAATTAAATCTTTTATTTAAAAAGGGAAAACAAAAACGTTTGGGAAAAAATAAATAATATGTTCACGGAGGCTTGAATATGAATTTTTTTTCAAAACCCGTATTAAGCCCTACACTCATAAAATCCTTTTAAATATAAAAAATAAAAAAATACTTTATAAAACTGGATTGTTTTTGTTTTGATCCAAATTTTCTTTTGGGCAACCCGTGTTTCCCAAATTCAAATTCTACACCAAAAAATTGGGAAAAAACCCGGAGTAACGGTTAATTTTACTTAAATTATTTTGAGTGAAGGTTTCATTTATAAAACACAAGATGGTTAATCCTTACGCTGTGTTGTTACCTGGAGGCTCTACTGTCTTCGACATTGTACTTGATTTTACTTAAAAAAGCCTAAAGTTATGGTCATGTTTAATTCAGAGTTTATGAAAGTGTGAAAGAAGGGAGCATAGACAAAGTTAGCATAACTAGTAAAGTGTTTGTGGATTTTGTTCTATTTTTCTCAGTGTATTTAGTTTTAAGAAAGTATAAATAAATCTATGTTCAGGATTGTTTTCCAGGTGAAATTGATAAAAAGAAAAACTCTAAAAGTATGCAAGGTAGATTTATTGTTCTTGCACGCTGCATATCATACCAAGTGCTATGACAGTATTTTAAATTTGAAGAAAATCCCTGAAGTTCCTTAGGAGATATGCTTCGGAAACAGTTTTTCAAATAAACATGATAAAAGCAAATAACTTAGAGATCAAGTTTAAATTACATTCTACTTCCTTTCAATATGCTCTATGAGTGTAAGAAGAGTGCACACAAATATTTTTGAATTACGTGATTTATCAGTGTATTAGGTTCAAAGAAATTCCTTGAATGATTTTTGGGGTAATGCTGCGGACAATTAAGTTTTTCAAATAAATCTGTTAAAGCAGAGTAACGTTTCAAGACGGCAAGATATAGTTACTTTACTTAGATATTTCACTTTCTTACAATATGTTCTGTCATTCAGTGTTTGAAGTTTGTAGTTAATTGATTACAAAAATTAAAGTAATGTACTGGACGATATTGGGACTGACGCACAGATTCACCGACACAGAGATGCGCGTACGGAGACAATGTCTTATATACCCTTCATCTTTGGCGAGGAGATAAATAAATAGTAACAGAATTGACAAAATTTTAAAGTACATGTCACACGCATACAAACGCAAAAGCATACACGAGGATATTTAAGATAATATCTAGTGTAATTATTAATATGTAGCTATAACAAAAGTAAACATATATAAAAACGTTAATACATGTAGATAGAACAATATAAACTATATGTCTATTATTACTGACAATATATTTTATAGTTAGTGTTCATAACCGCCTTTCACAGCCAAGTCTAATATTTGGTTATAAACTAGCGCACTGACCTTTGCTTCAGTTCCTCTATTTTCAATTGAGCTAGTTCCTTCTTCGAAATCACCTTTCTCATCATTGTTGTTCTGAAAACAACACATATTCTAGTAAAAACGTAAACAAACCAGTGTATGAAGTGACAAAACCACAAAAGAAAAGAAAAAAACTTTTTGTAAAATATTAAGAAGACAAAGATTCTAATTTTACTATTTTATCAAAATTCACAACAACAGTATATTTGTAAAAGATATAACTTCAAGGTAATACAGTTTACGTTAATAGAATTTGCAGTAATATCCCTTGGGTAAATCATTTTATATTAATCTCCATGCAAATTTTGAGTGTTTGTTTAAAGGAATAAAATAAACAAAATAAAGTAGACAAAATTGAATTGTATTCCGCTATGGAAGCATGCGCAGAAGCTATGAATCCTTCAAACCAGTGTATGAAGTGCCAGAACCACAAAAAAGACAACGATTCTAATTTTACTATCTTATCAAACTTAACCAACAGTATATATGCAAAAGATATAACTTCAAAGGAATACAGTTTACGTTAAAATGTAGGTATAACAATATAATTTGCAGCAATATCCCTTACTTTAATAATTGTATATTATATTTATATGTACATTCAGGATATTTGTTTTAAGGGAAAAAGTACAATAAGGGAACAGAACTAGGCTCAATTGAGTTGTATAAGGATAGGTAGGAAATCAAAGATAATAAAATAATAACAAATTAATATATACCATTTAACGTAAAGTGTTTTAATTAGAAGTTAAATATAATAAAACAAGGGTTTACACGAGGTTTTAATAATATCTAGTGTTATTATTAATGTGTGATTTTAACAAAAGTAAACACATATAAAAACGTTAATATATAAAAGCAATACAAAGTTAATGTTCATAACCTCCTTTCACTGCCAATTTTGATATTTGATTTTAAATTTCAGGTTCACTGAAACTGGTGTACTGACCTTTGCTAAATTTCCTTTGTTTTCATTTGAGCTAGTTCCTGCTTCGAAATCACCTTGCTTATCATTGTCCTGAAAACAACATATAATCTAGTAAAAAATGTCAACCTTTATATAAAGTGACAGAACCACAAAGAAAAAAAGTAAAAACATTTTTATAACATATGAAGAATACCACGATTCTATATTCATTATCAGACCACACAAGCAAAAATGTATATGTTAAAGATATAATTTCAAAAGAATACAGTTTACGTTTAAAGGCAGGTATTAATTTGTAGTAACATCCCTTACGTTTACAAATATATATAATATCTTCATGTAGATTCAGGGTGATTGTTCAAGAAAAAGGTACAATTCGAAAAGAGAATCATGTACAATTGAGTTGCATTAGGACAGGTAGGAAAACATAGGTAATAAAGCAAACGTTTCTCAGACAGATATAAAAAGGCATAGAACATGTCTATGGCATGTAAATGCCAAGTATAAGCCATTTATCGTAAAAAGATTACATTCGAAATTATATATTTATTTAACTTATTAAACAAAATTTATACTTTTGATACCACTGAATTGACTTTCTTAATCCTGTCTGCTTCAGTGTCTTTGTCACTGTGTTCAACTTTAGGCTCCTACACAAAAAATGAATAAACAGTGTGACAGTTGATTTTATTTAAATTCTTTTGGGTCCAGTGTTTAATTTATCAAAACTTAAGGTACAGATCACATTGAAATTGCATCAGTGGAATAAGTACGTACAAACTTTAAAAATAGAAGTTATTAATGGGCCATAACTCTTAAAAATCATTGAACCGCAAAATACTGACAATATGCACTACATTCATTGTACTGATCATTCCCGTAAAGATTGGATGAAATTTGACCAGTAGTTTCTGAGGAGTAGTCCGGACATGTTTTTGTGACGGACTGACAGAGAGAAGTACAGAAAGACAGACAGTAAGACAGACAGACAATAAAGAAGTGATCCCTATATTTCGACATTTCTCCGTAGAGGCGACACAAATATTATGTGGAATTTATTTATTTTGTTTTATATTAAATTTCAAGAAAATAACGTGAGTACATTTGGAGTAATGCTCAGGATGTTTTCAGTCAAATCTGATAAATTGGAAAACACTTAAAGAAGGAAAGGTATAGTTATTGCACTTAGACATTTCAATTTCATACAATATGTTCTGTGAGTCAGTGTTTGAAGTTAAAGAAAATCACTTAAGTAGGTTTCAAGAAATGTACTGGACGAAATTGGGACTGACGTTCGAATTCACCGGATACCATTTCTAATATACCATTCACTTTTGGCAAGGAGATAAATAAATTGTGAAAGAAATGACAAAATTTAAAAGTACATGTCAGCGCAAACATACGTAAACGCATATTCGAGGATTTAAGATAATATCTAGTGTAATTATAATGAATAACAATTACAAAAGAAAACACATATATTAAAACGTAAATAGATAAAAAAAACTTACAAACAAGATGTATATTATTACTAGCAGTACAGCTTATAGTAAGCGTTCAGGACTGCCTTTCACAGAGCCAATTTTAATATTTAAAAATAAGTTTCAAGTTAAGTGAAACTAGTCGCTGACCTTTGCTTCATTTCTTCCATTTTCATTTGAGCTAGTTCCTTCTCCGAAATCGCCTTTCTCGTCATTGTCCTATTGAAAACAAAGCATATTCCAGTAAAAATGAAAACACACTTGTATAATTATGAAGTGACAGAGCCCCAAAAGAAAACAACAATTTTTTTATAACATATTACTAAGACAACGATTCTAATTATAATATCTTTGTAGGCTTTAAAAGGAAAAGAATATATGTGAAAGATATAACTTCAAAGGGATATAATTTGCAGTAACATCCTCTACGTCAACATTGTATATCATGATAATTGTCATGTTTATTCATGGTGTTTGTTTCAAGAAAAAGGTGAAATAAGCAAAAAGAACTAGTTTCAATTTAGTTGCATAAGGACAGGTAAGAAAGCAAAAATTATAACACAAACATTTTCAGAGACACGAAAAGGCATGCAACATGTGCAAGGCAAAAGTATAAGCCATTTATCATAAAAAAGTTATATGTTATAGAACAAAATAAATACTTTTGATGCCACTGAATTGTCCTTCTGATTGTTGTCTGATTCAGTGTCGTTGTCACTGTGTTCAGCTTCAGGCTAATACACAAAAAATGAATGAACAGAGTAACGGTAAATTTTATTCAAATTCTTTATGGCTCGGTGTGTATTTTGTTACACCTCATCCACCGCCATATGCAAGCAAGATGATTAATTCCGACGTCGTGTCGTGACCCGGAGATCGTAATTTCGTACATTTTACTTAGATGGAATCCTTAAAACATCCTTTTCTAATTGTCATGCTAAATCAAGTTTTCAAGAAAATAGGAAAAAGAACGAAGCACTGTAGAGGAAGTAAGTATTAATAGTTACGCATAAAATCACATGGGAATTTATTTATTTGGTTTTATTTATATCAGTGTATTAAGTTTGAAGAAAATATCGTGAGTACATTTGTAGTTATGTTCAGGATTTTTTTTTCAAGTAAATTTGATAAAGGTGTAAAGACTTAAAAACGGCAAGATAAAGTTATTGCACTTAGACATTTCACTTTCATACAAAATGTTCTGCCTGTCATTATTTGAAGTTTGAAGAAAATTGCTCAAGTAGATTTGGAGTAATGAACTGGACGAAATGTGGACTGACGAATGGGTTCACCGACGTAAAGATGCTGCACGGACGGAGACCATTTCAAATATTCCCCATACCTTTGGCTAGGATATAAATAAACAGTTATTGGAATTTAAAAGTAAATGAAGAACGAATACATACACAAAAGCATACATGAGGATTTAAGAAAATATCTAGCATAATTATTAATATGTAACTATTACAAAAGTTAACATATATAAAAACGTTAATAGATAAAAATAATTCAAAGTAGATGTCTATTATTAATGACAATATATTTTATAAGTGAGTGTTCATAACCGCTTTTCACAGCCAATTTTTAATTTTAAATTCACTGAAACTAGTGCACTGACCTTTGCTACAGTTCCTCCATTTTCAATTGAGCTAGTTCCTTCTTCACAATCACCTTTCTCCTCATTGTCGTTCTGAAAACAACGCATATTCTAGTAAAAACGCAAACACACCTGTGTATGAAGTGACAAAACCACAAAAGAAAAGAAAAAAACTTTTTGTAAAATATTAAGAAGACAAAGATTCTAATTTTACTATTTTATCAAAATTCACAACAACAGTATATTTGTAAAAGATATAACTTCAAGGTAATACAGTTTACGTTAATAGAATTTGCAGTAATATCCCTTGGGTAAATCATATTATATTTAATTTAAACTACGTGCAAATTTTGAGTGTATGTTTAAAGGAATAAAGTAAACAAAATTAAGTAGACAAAATTGAATTGTATTACGCCGCTATGTAAGCAAAGGCTATGAACCCTTCATATCTGAACAAAAAATCTACAATAATGTCAACTACAAATGGTTAGCACTTAAATGGCGATTCTTGAAGTATTTCATAGAATAAGGTTTAAGTAAGAGATTAATTGTAACAAAACTAAAATCATACATTGATAACATCTGCATTCTCTCCCTTATTCTTGTTAGTTTCTCCGTCTTCTACTTCTGGCGGCTATAACGAAAATGAAAGAACAGAGTATCGGTTAATTATATTAAAATGTGTTTTTTATTATAAATATACACTAAATAATTGCAAACGAATATCCTTAAGATAGCACACATGATTGTAATGTTCTTGAATAATATAACAGCCATGAGCAGTATAATTTCTAAGAAGTGTTTTGATATATTTCATTTTGAAATATGTTTTGAGCTGATTTTGATCTTTTTATGCCAAAGGAAACAAGAGCATCGCTAGGCGGAGCATTATATGCCTGAAAGTGTTTTTTTATAGTGAGGATGAAGCATTTGTAAGACATGGGAATTAGCTGTTCATCCTATAAATTTTACAGCTGTAGGTTGATTAATACTTAAGTTATTAATTATGACCTTAACCTTTGACCTTGTGACCCCAAAATCAATAGGGGTCTTCTACCTAATGTGAACAATCATCCTAAAAAGTTTGAATATTGTGGGCCAAATGGAACTTTAATTATGCTCTAGAAACTATTTTCAGTTTTAAGGTTAAAGTGACTTTGACATTGCTTGTGACCCCAAAACCAATAGGGGTCTTCTACCCAATATGGACAATCATCCTAAAAAGTTTGAATATAGAGGGCCAAATGGAACTTACGTTATGCTCCGGAAACTGTTTCTTGGTTTTAAGGTAATTGTGACCTTGATCTTTGACCTAGTGACCCCAAATCGATAGGGGTCTTTTGCCCAATATGGACAATCATCCTATGAAGTTTGAATATTGTGGGCCAAATGGAACTTAAATTATGCTCCGGAAACAGTTTTCAGTTTTGAGGATAATGTGACCTTGACCCTTGACCTTTTGACCCCAAAATCAATAGGGGTCTTCTACCCAATATGGACAATCATCCTATGAAGTTTGAATATTGTGGGCCAAATGGAACTTAAGTAATGTTCCGGAATCTGTTTTCAGTTTTAAGGTTAAAGTGACCTTGACCTTTGACCTTTTGACCCCAAAATTAACAGGGCTCTACTACCCAATATGGACAATCATCCTATGAAGTTTGAACATTGTGGGCCTATTGGAACTCAAGTTATGCTCCGGAAACTGTTTTCAGTATCAATGTAATAGTGACCTTGACCTTTGAGCTTGTGACTCCAAAATCAATAGTGGTCTTCTACCCAATATGGACAATCATCCTATGAAGTTTAACATTGTGGGTCGAATGGAACTTAAGTTATGCTCCGGAAACTGTTTTCAGTTTTAAGGTAATAGTGACCTTGACCTTTGACCTTTTGACCCAAAAATCAATATAGTCTTCTACCCAATATGGACAATCATCTTATTATGAAGTTTGAATTTTGTCGGCCTAATGGAACTTAAACTTTGCTCCGGAAACCAAATTGCTAACGGACGGACGGACGGACGTACGGACGGATGGATTGACAGACAGACAGACGGACGCCAGGGGGTATAACATAATATGCCCTTTCGGGCATATAATAAAGAATATTGAATGACTAAAGCTACAATACTGACTTTATTGAACGACTTGAAAGAAAAATAGTATGTGAGACATAATTTTCAATAGAAGTAACAGTAAAATATCTGATGGCTCGGAGGTAAACAGCAGAATCTATAGGTATAAATGTTACACAGAAAAGTCACTCTAGCTGTTTGTAACTCAAAATGTAAAGTCTCTAAATTGATAAATGAACTAAATGTTAAAAAATTAAAGCGATACGTGAAGACAAAATTTAAACAAAATTTATGTTACATTAAAGAGTAGGTACATAAGAGAATCCATCATCATTAGACAATTTAAAAGAGAAGCACGAGGGAAAGGTGCATGTATTAAGGATAACGTCAGACGTCCATAGAGTATGCAAACGCTGCCAAATAAAATGTTATTTAGTATAAAGTCGTAAAAGCGGTATAACTTTTAAGTATCTTTTGAAGTATAGAAATATTCCTATAAAGCAGAATTTAAAGATAAAAATTATGAACATACGAAACTAACCGCCTACGATTTAGAAATACATAATAAGTTGTGCGTGCTTTGAATTTTTTGACGATACATAAGTAATACCCCGGTAATACAGGTATGTAAGCCATTCACAAGTCGAGAAATAAATTTATTTGCTGTATTACCACAGGCCATATAACCTGTCAAAATCTTTATAATTAATAATATAACTTTTTTAGAGAGCGACGCGATATTTATTCCGGTGACATTTTGTCAAAACTCTTTATGCGCTTTAGGCGGAGATGTTGTTGAGGACAACTGTGCTTAATCATTGACAATGAACAATGGCGTACAAACAGGCTGCATTTAACAAAAATGTTTGCCTCTGACCAACCATGTTAATTGAAACAACAACACCACAATAACAATAATCAAATATTAAACTCTAGACAATATGGCAATCAGTTGCCAGAATTCAACCTATGTCCCTTCTAACACAGGTCATTTGAGATCACTAAACCATGTCCAAACCAATTCAAGACGAACACAAAGCTCTCAATACCTATATTATCAGCTAAAATAGTAGATCATACAATTTGCAAATGACTCCTCTAAACAAACATCTGATAAACATTATTTATTTGTGTTTAACGCTATTTTAACAAATACACTATGTCTTTATTGGAAGTTAGAAAAGCAAAGGCCCCATCTGTACATATATATATATAAAAAATGGTTTACTTCAGAATACAAGTTTACTTTTGACAGTCCATTGACAAATTGCTAACTAAAATAAGCTAAGGTTAAAATGATACTTAGTTCCAATTTTTTTTGCACAATCGATTTTTGATTCTAAGTACAGGATCGTTAAACTATTAATGACAACAGAAAAAAATTTTCATACAAAGTTCAAGGCCCGGAAACTGCTAAGTGTTTACTTTTTGCAAAATTGCATATTGCATATTTGTAGCCAAGATAATGTTTAGAAAATGAGAATTTTAAAATCGTTTCCAAGTTCAAAAAAGCAAAAAAAAAAAAAACACCCCCAAATCATTGAACCCTGACCAAATAAGAATTTGTCTTGTATTTTCTGGTAAAATACCAGCACATGTAATGTGGATCCTCGGACGTACATTCCTTCAAAGTTAGAGGAGAAACTGAAAATTTCGAAAGAATTTCTAACGTTCAAGAGGGATAACTTTATCCAAAATTCATCGAACCATGATTATAAACGAAAACTGAAAAGTTATTTTTGTCAAAGTTTAAGGGTCATAACTCTGCAAAAAATCATCCAACCATTTCCAAATAATTCCAACTTGACCTACAAATTCCTAAGACATATCCATGCCTAAAATTCGTTCAAGACATAATGAAACAAAACTGAAAATGTTGTTTTTATTCAATGTTAAACGATCACAACTCTGCAAAAAATCATTAAACAATGACCAATTTCGAACTTGACCTGCACATTACTTTATATCCAAACATCAAATTCGAGTTTGTTTGTAACTGTTGCTAAGATAATGAATCGAAACTGATGATGACGGAATGAAAGCTGACACGAGGGTTAAAGATAATATCTAGTGTAATTATAATGAATAACAATTACAAAAGAAAACTCATTTAAAAAAGTAAATAGATAAAACAAATCATACAAACTAGATGTCTATTGTGTGTGTTTGGTTTGTTTACCCTCGCCACCGGAATGAACCATATGGGCGAGGATATACTTCATTTAAAACTTACTGCATTTATATGGGAAGTAATGTAAATTAAGCTATAGTTTTATCGGTACATGTGTTTACGTGTGTCTATTATTATTGGCAAAATATTTTATAGTAGGTATTCATAACTGCCTTTAACTGCCAATTTCAATATTTGAATATTAGTTTCAAGTTCAGTGAAACTAGTCGCTGACCTTTGCTACAGTTCCTCCATTTTCAATTGAGCTAGTTCCTTCTTCGAAACCACCTTTCTCATCATTGTCGTTCTGAAACAACGCATATATCAATAAAAAAGAAAAAAAACACTTGTATATGAAGTGACAGAATCTAAAAAACAAAACAAATTTTTGTAACATAATACTAAGACAACGATTCTAATTAAAATATCTTATCAGGCTTTAAAAGGAACGGTATATATGTGAAAGATATAACTTCAAAGGGATACAGTTAACGTTAAAAGGCTGGTTTTACAATATTATTTACAGTAACATCCCTTACGTTAACACTTTTATATCATCATCTTCATGTACATTCATGGTGTTTGTTTCAAGAAAAGGGTGAAATAAGCAAAAATGAATAGAATAAATTAAGTTGCATACGGACAGGTAAGAAAGCAGAAATTATAAAACAAACATTTTCAGAGAGAGACACAAAAACATGCAACATGTCCAAGGCACAATACAGCTAAGTATAAGCCATTTATCATAAAGAAAATAAATTAGAAGATATATGAAATAGAACAAAATAAATACTTTTGATTCCACTGAATTGTCTTTCTGGTTCTTGTCTGATTCAATGTCGATGTCACTGTGTTCAACTCCAGGCTCCTACACATAAAATGAATGAACAGAGTAACTGTTCATTTTATTTAAATTCTTTTAGGCCCAGTGTGTATTTTGTCACACCTCACCCACCCCCATTTAGTTTAAACATATTTTACTTCAAACATTTTCACACAAACAATTATTACATACAATCATTAGTTACATAATAAACAATGCTGAAAAAGGATTAGATCCGAAAGCATACAATGCTTATAGAGGTCTTGTCCTAACATATAATTCATTACTGTAAATTCGGCGGTAAATTACATGTTCGAAATAGTATATCATGAAAACCCCCATTTGCAAGCAAGTTGATTAATTCCGACGCCGTGTTGTCACCCGTAGATCGTTATTTCGTACATTTTACTTAGATGGAATCCTTAAAACATATTTTCTAATTGTCATGCTAAAAACTGTTTTTAAGAAAATAGTTAAAAGAATGAGACACTATAGAGGAAGTAACTTGTTTCACATTAAATCACATGGAATTTATGTATTTGGTTTTATTCATATCAGTGTTTTTTAGTTTGAAGAAAATATCGTGTGTACATTTGTAGTTATGCTCAGGATTCCTTTCAAGTAAATCTGATAAAGGAGTAAAGACAAACGGATTCAACGACGCAGAGATGCAAAGACGGAGACTATTTCTAATATTCCCTATACCATTGGCGAGGAGATAAATAAATAGTTATTGAAATTTAAAAGTTAATGTCACACGCATACATACGCAAAAGCATACACGAGGATTTAAGATTATATCTAGTGCAATTATTAATATTTAACTATTTCAAAAGGTAACACTTATAGAAACGTAAATAAAATACTTACTAGATATCTATTATTACTGACAATATATTTTATACTAAGTGCTCATAACCGCCTTTCACCGCTTATTTTGATATTTGATTATAAATTTCAAGTTCAGTGAAACTAGTGCACTGACCTTTGCTACATGTCCTTCATTTTCAATTGAGCTAGTTCCTTCTTTGAAATCATTTTTTTCATCATTGTCGTTCTGAAAACAAAGCATATTCTATTAAAAACGTTACACATCTGTGTATGAAGTGACAGAATCACAAAAGAAAAGAAAAAGCTTTATTAAGAATTCTAATTTTACAAACTTCTCAACAAAAGTATATAATTATGTAAAAGATATAACGTCAAAGGAATACAGTTGACGTTAAAACGCTGGTATAACAATATAATTTGCAGTAACATCCCTTACATTAACAATGATATATCACATTTACTTGTACATTCAGGATGTTTGTTTCAAGGAAAAAGGTACAGAGTTGCATTAGGATAGGTAGGAAATAAGAGGTAATAAAATAATATCAAAGTTATATTAGCCATTTATTGTAAAGAGTTTACATTAGAAGTTAAATGTAATAAATCAAAATAAATACTTTTGATACCACTGAATTGTCTTTCTGATTCTTGGCTGATTCAGTGTCTTTGTCACTTTGTTCATCTTCAGGCTCCTACACAAAAGATGAATGGACAGGATAACGGTTAATTTTATTTAAATTTATATGGGTTCAGTGTGTATTTTGTCAATACTCGTTCCCATATGCAAACATGATGATTAATCTCGACGCCGTGTTGTTACCCGGTGGTTGAAATTTAGTACATTTTACAATCATTAAAACGTTCATTACTTATTATCATGCTAAATACAGTTTTCAAGAACATAGAAAAAAGAATGAGGCAATATAGAGGAGGTTAGTATAACTACTTACGTTTATGTGGATTGTTTTGTTTTATTTCAGTGTATTAAGTTTGAAGACAAGAAGCGCCGCAATGCGACAAAACCAGATTTTTAACGGCCAAGTTTAATGTGATAGGAATTAGGAATACAATATGGCACTGCAGAAAGTTGGTGTCAAAAGTTAAGAATAAAAGTATACCAGATACCTGGGCACCAATGGCAGGCTGTATTTTCATGTAAGCTACACACGTGCCAAGTTATGTATCAATATGTCAAAGTATTCTGAAGTTATTGAGTCGAAGCTGAAAATTCTATTGTAATTATATGACCTTGACCTTGCTCTAAGATATCTAATGTGCAATCCCAAGCTGCAACTTAATAGAAGCTACCTTGACCTTGATCTATTGTGATTCATTTATGTCATTGTAAATTTTTTTGAAGAAATAACGTTTATACATTTGAGTTATGCTCAGGATTTTTTCAGGGAAATCTGATATAAGGGGAAAGTCCAAATAAATGCTAAGTAAAGTTCTGCATTTTCATCCAATGTGCTATGACAGTGGATAAAATCTGAGGATATGTTAAGTTATGCTTTAGAAACAGTTTTTTTTAAAAACACCTGAAAGATAGAAATAACTATGTAAGCAAGGTAGAATTATTGTTCATGCTCAATGCACTTTCAATGTGCTCCTCAAGTGTATGAAGTAAGAGGAAAATAAACTGAGAAACTTTTGGAGGTATTTCCGGACAAAAATTATTATGTAAATCAGATAAATGGGAATAACTCGATTATTGTTCATGCACACTGCAAGTTTGAATAAAATCGCATAGCAATTTTGTAGGAATGAGAAAATTAGGACGGATGTACACATTTACAGATGCATAGAAGCAAGGAGATAAAAATGATAAAATCCAAATGAAAATATCACGCGCATACATATGCAAACGCATACACGATGGTTTTAGATAATATCTTGTGTAATTATAAATATGTAACAATTACAAAAGATAATATATTTAAAATACTTCAATAAATTTAAACATAACAAACCAGATGTCTTTTATTTCAGACTATTCCTGAATAAACTGCCTTTCACTGCTAATTTTAATATTTGATTAAAGATTTCAAGTTCATTGAAACTGGCGCACTGACCTTTACTGCATTTCCTTCTTTGTCAATTGAGCTTTTCCCTGCTTTGAAATCACGCTGCTTATCATTGTCCTTCTGCAAACAACGCATATTTTAGTAAGAAAGTAAACACACCTTTGTATGAAGCAACACATAAACAAATGAAAAAACAACAATCGTTTGTGACAAATTAAGAGACAATGATTCTAACTTTATAATTTAATAAGATTGCACACGCAACAATATTCATCTTTAATATATTGATTTAGAAGAATACAGTTTAGTATAAACGCAGGTATTACAATAGAATTTGCAGTAATATCCCTTGGGTAAATCATATTATATTTAATTTAAACTACGTGCAAATTTTGAGTGTATGTTTAAAGGAATAAAGTAAACAAAATTAAGTAGACAAAATTGAATTGTATTACGCCGCTATGTAAGCAAAGGCTATGAACCCTTCATATCTTGAACAAAAATCTTACAATAATGTCAAACTACAAATGGTTAGCACTTAAATGGCGATTCTTGAATGTATTTCATAGAATAAGGTTTAAGTAAGAGATTAATTGTAAACAAAACTAAAATCATACATTGATAACATCTGTATTCTCCTCCTTATCCTTGTTGTTGTTTTCTCCGTCTTCTACTTCTGGCGGCTTTAACGAAAATGAAAGAACAGAGTATCGGTTAATTATATTAAAATGTTTTTGCGCCAATTATAAATGTAAACTTAATAATTGCAAACGAATATCCTTAAGTTTTATAGCACACATGATTGTTATGTTTTTGAATAATATCTCAGCCATGAGCAGTATAATTTCTAAGAAGAAGGGTTTTGATATATGTTTTAAGCTGATGTGATCTCTTTATACCAAAACACTAGAAATACAGGATATTGAACGAATGTAGTTTCAATTCTGACTTTATTGAACGAGTTGAATAAAATTATATTATGCGAGACATAATTCTCAATGGAAGTAGCAATATAATATCTGATGTCTCGAAGGAACATAAAAGAAACAATTATCACTGGACAATTTAAAAGAGAAGCACGAGGGAATGGTGCATGTATAAAGGATAACGTCAGATGTCCAAGGAGTATGCAAGCGCTGCAAAATAAAATGTTATTTAAGTATAAAGTCATTATAGCAATGTTACTTTCAAGTATATTTTGAAGTAGAGAAATATTGAAAGTTAGATAAGCAAATGCCCCATCTGTGCACATGCATTTATCAAAATTCGTTCACTTCAAAATGAAAGTTACATTTTGACAGTTTATTGATAAATTGCTTACATGAAAAAAGCTAAAGTTAAAATAATACTTAGTTCCAAATTTGTCAGCACAAACCATTTTTTCATTCTCAGTTCCAGGCCTTAAAACTATTCAATGTCAACAAAAACCAATTTTCATACAGAGCTCAAGGTCCGGAAACTACTCAGTGTTTACCTTTTGAAATTGCATATTGCATATTTGCAGCTAAGAGAATGATAAGAAAATGAGAATTTTAAAAAGTTTCCAAATTCAGGAAGGGGGGGGGGCGGTAAAAAACATTGGACCTTGACAAAATAAGAACTTGTCTTGTATTTTCTGTTAAAATACCAGCACGTGAATTTTGGATCCTCAGACGTACATTCCTTCAATAAAGCAGAAACTCGAAATTTCTTATTTTTTCTAAGTTGAAGAAAGATAACTCTGTCAAAATTCATTAAACCATTTCAACAAAAAGAATAGTGCGGAAACTGAAAAGTTCAATTTTTTTCAACGTTCAAGAGGGATAAATTTATCAAAAATTCATCAAACGATGATAATAAACGGAAACTGAAAAGTTCTTTTATGTCAATGTTAATGGGGCATAACTCTGCTAAAATCATCAAACCATTTCCAAATTCGAACTTGACCTACGCATTCCTATGACATATCCATACGTCTTATTTGTTCGGAAGATAATGAACGGAAACTGAAAATGTTTATTTTTCAAAGTTAAAGGATCACAACTCTGCCAAAAATCATTGAACCATGACCAAATTCAAACTTGACCTGCGCATTACTTTAACGTATCCATCTATCAAATTTGAGTTGAATGTGTACAACTGTTGGGGAAATAATGAACCGAAACTGAAAATTTCTTTTAAGGGGTATAGTCTGTCAAAAGTCATCGGACGATGACCAACTTCAAACTTGTGTAAGTGGAAACGAATAGCATGTTGTTTTTATTCAAGTTCTCATTTTTAAAACCCCGATTTCGTTTGTCTCTACTTAGTATATCGTAGTTATTATTCCATTAGGGGGCAGGGGACCTAAATATGAACAATTTTGTACTTCAGTGTGACCAGAAACACAATTCAAAATATTTCAAAATCTGTTTCACAGGCAGATAACAAGTTGCACAGCATTATTCAATGATATATGACATACATTGAAGAAGGTAATAGTTTGCATGCATTGCTCCTTAAAAAAATGACTGACAGCAGTTTATATTTACCCCCAACCAGCCGAAATCACACCTTAAATATACCAATATGGGCAACCTTCATGAAGGTGCAGCATACTCCAGAATCCGCCCGATTCCTTTAAAAAATATCACTAACACGCAGTGCAAGCTATGGCATTTTGAAAAATGACCAATAAAGTGTCTGTCATACGTTTAGACTTTTCAAAAAATTTATCCGAAATTTCTTACTTGTTTGGCGCCAACTGTCAAAGCTTGATTTTTAACTTTTTCACCTCCATTCGGAGAGTCAGAAATATATACAAAGCTACCAAAATGCTGAGTTTCGGGTAAAAAAACCCAAAAAACTTCTCATTTCCTACACACAAACAAGAAAGAATTACACTGACAGAGAGATATCAGAAGTTTCCAGTATCTTCGAAACACCATGTCTGAGTTATAAAAAAAATTGACTGAGGCCATCATTCGAATATGTCCCTTGCCCCCTTATATGCAAATATGAAACCAGCCAATGCTTGTATAAATTATAAGTAAATTGCCATGTTTTATGTGTGTGAAGTATGTTCGTTCAAAAAGAATCGTAATACCTCAATGGGGGTTACGGCTTCCACGTCTGACTGTGTTAAATTCTCGTCTTTTTCTTCATGGGATAATTTCCGTCGATTTATGTAAACCTTAGCAGTGAGTATACGTAAACTATCTTTTATCCTCTTATCATGACCCTTTGATAGATCGCTGCACAGGCGGCTTGCTTCCTACATATAAAATAAAGCTATTGTTTTTGTTTTACGGTGAAGAGAAGTTTTATTTTTGTAAAGATCATGATAAAAAACTTCAACATCCTTCAAATGAAATAATAGAGGTATTCATATCGCTTTATATTATCACTGTGTGGTACAGTCCCCCATATCACCCAATTACGTCAACAGGGGGTGACAACTCCGATTTTATTTGATAAGGTCTATATCTTTAATCGGAGTAACCGACAACGTGTTTATAATCAATTGTGACTTGATTTGAGCAGCACAGTCTGTATAAGTTTCATTTAATCTTGAATAAAATATATGACCCTTAAATATAGACAGATCTGATTTAACCCGACTTTTGCCTTTTTGGTCTATTAAAAAAAAGATTTTGGAATAATAAAGCTGGACTACTTAAAGGCCTTCATAATTGTAAAATGAATGAGCTTTGATCTTCTTATTCCATATTTGTAACCGAACTGAAAAGCATTAAAACAAATTTTGTCACAGTGCCTGACTGACTGTGTTGAATAAAAGAGTCGAAGACTTTTACGAACTTTTGAAATTTCCATATTTCAAAACCCCCCCGGTTGTTTTTTTGCTTAAAGGAAATCATTAAAAAAAATACCTTACTTATTTTAAAAATAAAAACCTGTAAGGTGGTTGATTTGTGTCATTTTTGCGACTTTCACAGGGTCGCTACGAAAAAAAAACAAAAAAAACAACAAAAAAACAAGAGGGCCATAATGGCCCTGAGTCGCTCACCAGAAACAACTGCCTTTCCGTGTTGGTATGTCAATATATTCTAATATTAAATTTGAGCATAGAATATGTTCAAACAATAATTTGAAGAAATGCCATGACCTGGGGTATTTAAGCTTAAGCTTAAACGGGGCTTATCAAATTAATATGAGCAAACTTGATAAAAGAATACCTAAGAATGCTAAAAAGTTTGGTGATCATCTATCAATTATTTCAGTAGGAAATGATGTTCGAAGGTTTTTTTCTATTTTTAGCTTAAGTGGCCCCTAAAAGGGGCTTATCAAATTAATATAAGCAAACTTGATAAAAGAGTACCCAAAAAAGCTACAGACAAAGTTTGGTGATCATCCATCAATTGGTTCTCAAGTAGAAGATGTTTAAAGGTTTTTCTATTTTTAGCTTTAGCGGCCCTAAAAGGGGCCAATCAAATTAATACGAGCAAACTTGATAAAAGAGTACCCAAAATGCTTTAGAGTTTGGTGATAATCCATTAATTAGTTCTGTAGGAGAGGATGTTTAAACGTATTTCTATCTTTAATTTTACCGACCCTTAAAAGGGGCTAATCAATTGAATATGTGCAACTTAATAAAAGACTACCCAATAAGACAAAGTTTGCTGATCATCCATCAATTAGTTCTGTAGCAATAGACGTTAAGGTGTATATCTATTTTTAATTATAGTGGCCCCTAAAAGAGGCCAATCAAAATAATATGAGCACACTTAATATAAGACTACCTAACAATGCTTCAGACAAAGTTTGGTTATCATCCATCAATTAAAGTTCTGTAGAAATAGACATTAAAAGGTATTTCTATTTTTAGCTTAAGCAGCCCGTAAAAGGGGTCAATCAAATTCATATGAGCAAACTTGATAAAAGACTTCACAAGAATGCTACAGACAAAGTTTGGTGATCTTGCTTCAATTAGTTCTCTAGAAATAGACATTTAACGGTATTTCTATTTTCAGCTATAGAGACCCCTAAATAGGGCCAATTAAAATTAATATGAGCAAACTTGATAAAAGACTACCCAAGAATGCCACAGACAAAGTTTGGTGATCATCCATCAATTAGTTCTGTAGGAGAAGATGTTTAAAGGTTTTTTATTTTCTAGTCCTAAAGAACCCTAAAAGGGTCCAATCAAATTAATATTAGCAAACTTGATAAAAGACTACCCAAGAATGCTACAGACAAAGTTTGGTGATCATCCATCAATTAGTTCTCTACAAATAGACGTTGAAAGGTTTTCCTATTTTTAGCTTTAGCGGCCCGTAAAAGGGGTCAATCAAATTCATATGAGCAAACTTGATAAAAGACTACACAAGAATGCTACAGACAAAGTTTGGTGATCTTACATCAATTAGTTCTCTCGAAATAGACATTTAACGGTATTTCTATTTCTAGCTATAGAGACTCCTAAATGGGGCCAATTAAAATTAATATGAGCAAACTTGATAAAAGACTACCCAAGAATGCTACAGACATAGTTTGGTGATCATCCATCAATTAGTTCTGTAGGAGAAGATGTTAAAAGGTGTTTTTTTTAGTCCTAAAGACCCCTAAAAGGGGCCAATCAAATAAATATTAGCAAACTTGATAAAAGACTACCTAAGAATGCTACAGACAAAGTTTGGTGATCATCCATTAATTAGTTCTCTACAAATAGACGTTAAAGGTTTTCCTATTTTTAGCTTTAGCGGCCCTAAAAGGGGTCAATCAAATTCATATGAGCAAACTTGATACAAAACTACCCAAGAATGCTACAGACAAAGTTTGGTGATCATCGATCCATTAGTTTTGTAGAAGAATATGTTTAAAGGTTTTTCTATTTTTAGCCCTAGAGACCCCTTAAAGGGTCCAATCAAATGTATATGAGCAAACTTGATACAAAACTACCCAAGAATGCTACAGACAAAGTTTGGTGATCATCCATCCATTAGTTCTGTAGAAGAAGATGTTTAAAGGTTTTTCTTTTTTTAGTCCTAAAGACCCCTAAAAGGGGCCAATCAAATAAATATTAGCAAACTTGATAAAAGACTACCTAAGAATGCTACAGACAAAGTTTGGTGATCATCCATTAATTAGTTCTCTACAAATAGACGTTAAAGGTTTTCCTATTTTTAGCTTTAGCGGCCCTAAAAGGGGTCAATCAAATTCATATGAGCAAACTTGATACAAAACTACCCAAGAATGCTACAGACAAAGTTTGGTGATCATCGATCCATTAGTTTTGTAGAAGAAGATGTTTAAAGGTTTTTTCTATTTTTAGCCCTAGAGACCCCTTAAAGGGTCCAATCAAATTTATATGAGCAAACTTGATAAAAGACTACCCAAGAATGCTACAGACAAAGTTTGGTGATCATCCATCCATTAGTTCTGTAGAAGAAGATGTTTAAAGGTTTTTCTATTTTAAGCACTAGAGACCCCTAAAAGAGGCCAATTGGAATGACATGAGCAAATTCAAGTGTGACTGTCACAAGGATGCTACAGACCAAATTTGAAGTAAATCTGCCTAGTAGTTTCAGAGAAGAAGACGATTGTTGACGCATGACGACGGACGACGGAGCATCCCCCTTTGATACTAATAGCTCACCCTGAGCCTTCGGCTCTGGTGAGCTAAAAAAAACAAAAAAAAACGCGACCTTTTGCTCCCGCGAGTGGCGTGTTTCTGACTTCTTTTTGTCGTATCATTTTTTTGACGCGCTAGGCAAAGTCAAGCAAACAAGAATCTTGGGGGGGGGGGGGGGTGGTTTGTATAATTATACTTAAGTTTACATTTTCTTAACCTCTCAAAGCATCAAAGCAAAACTACGAAATAAATAGGTCACGACAAACAGTCGGCAACAACTTAAATTGTGACGTGTATTCACGGGACATTTTTCGTAGTTGTGCCTCACAAGGCGGGGGAAGTAAGGTCGTTGTTTCGCCTTGAAAACATGCTTACGCAAAGATAGTAGTTTGAAGTTCCGTGGTTTTATCTTTTCCACCAGAAAATACGCTCAAACGAAAAAGTACAAATAAGGTACCATACTAATCGAAAATATATGAAATAAACAGCGTATTCTACCACTTTGTTGAAAGCTTTTCACTTAACTGCTATATTCGAATGAGCAGGAATGATCCTTCCTTAGTATGCAGCAAATACACACAGCGGAACTTAATAGAGAACAATAAGAAGTTGATTTTTATAACATTGTCGTAAGTAAGAGCAACTGCATGTATTTATTACAAAGGAACGCTTGGAAATAGACAAATAATGACATTTCGTTATATTTCAGTAGGCGCTTCTGGGAGAAAAAAAATATATATAAATAAAGCAAACATAATTATTTCCTGTTGTTAGTAAATAGAAAAATATCAATTTCTTGTAAACAAATTCTTACAGTCTTTCTTTAGTATTGTTTTCCTTAGTTAATTTTATTTTTCTCCCTTTGATTAAAAAAATCTATATAGATTTGTGATATTTTATTTTCATTTAATGTACCAAGGTGGTCGATCCATTTCATCGGCAGTACTAGATAGATAACTAACCAATGATAAGCTACAAGGTACCTACAAGTGAACGACAACTTATCCTACATTAAGTGAACGACAACTTATCCTACATTGTTTCTAAGACAAATGGCCATTAATTTTGTCTCAATGTCTGTTTTTGATTACGCCTCGTCTTCGTAACGGTCCAGCAGATTACTGAATTACTAATTTCGATGCTCTCCGTACTGAGCATAGGGGCTGGCATTTGTGAGATTTACTTATTTGTAGGCTTAAATCATATTTAAGTGCATTAGAAATATATCAATGCATATTTCTTTTAAACCAAGAACCATGTAAATTTACGTCATATAAAAAGAACGGCCACTTAAATGATTTACTGACACTTACCAACCTCTCCTATCCATACTCAACTGTTTTTATATTTTACTGGATCAATACACCCCTCCCACCAGCTACCAGCTTATTGAAATACTATCGAATCCGTTCCTGGAACCAACCAGTACTAAGCAATGAATGTAAAGTTTCTTGCTCAAGGAAACAACAGCTTGCCTCTGACAGGGTATGATCCCACGCGGTCAGCAATCCTAAGATTACTAGTCCGACGCGTGAACCACTCGGTCACGCTGCCATTCTAAATAGTATTAAACCAAATACTTTTTCATACACACCTCTAAAATATTTATCATATATTTTGTTTTTTGTTCGTCTTCCTCGAATGGTAAGACTTCAAAAGCGTCTGTCCACTCATTATCATATAGTTCCGAGAATTCCTCTGCTAATTTTGTTGGTCTTTTTTCGTCACTTAAATCCGCAATATTCGGGTTATTGTATGTCAGGTTGGCACCTGCAACTTTGCTCAATCTAAAAACATATTTAATTAGTGTTTTATATAAACTTTTACAAATCTAAATTTTTATGGGGTTGAGAAGACAGAATACAGCATAATGCATGTCTAATAATAGATCACGTGGCTAAAGAAGCAAATTAACCAAACTGTTGATAAAATGATGCTTTAATCAATATCAACTAAGCTTTCTTCTATTCTTTTCTGTAAAATGATATGTTAATAAGGAAAATATTAAAGCAAAGAACGTCTACAGGAAATTAAAAAAAATGTCAATTACACCAATCTTCCAAGTAATTGTTCAATAAAACCGATTATCTAATTAATTTTAGGATATTTGGATCAAAACAGTAGCCCCTAGACTTATAAAAGTGTTTCCTATATTAGGCTGTGTGACCTTTTTTTTAACTCCGGGTGACATTGATGACGTTGATAGCTTTAAGCAAAAAAGGCATGTAAGGATAATTTAGTGCGACAAAATCTATCATTTGCAGAAAACGTTGTATTTGGCCAAGTTTTCAATAATATTTAACAGTTGAAAAAAGGGATAGTAATTTGTATCGACCGTCTCTAGTAAGTTATAAAATTTCGATAAAACCAGATCAATATTTAAGTTACATATTGACCATCACTTAAAATAACACTCATTTGATTTCAAAATGTTTTACTACAATATAATGACCTTAATAATAGATCTTGCTTTTCACCATTTAAAACCTTGTAATCTTCTTGAAGTTTTTGCATTTGATTCAATATTGCATCGTGCTCGTAGGATAATCTTTTAAATTTCAAACTGTCTTCGTGCATTTTATTTTTACTACTCTTTATTGTGTCGTTTAGTTCCTTGATCATCTTCTGAAGTTTCCCGATCTGTTTTTCATATTCAGTTTTTAAAGCGTCGTTTTCACTGTAATGATATGACACCATATGTTGTAAAAGGAAATTGGACATATTTCGTTTATTTAAAGATACCATTTTAACAATGTAAAGAGAAAATGTTGTTAATGTTTTGAAAGTCTTCAAATCTTAATCTTTTTTTTCAATGAATACAGTGTATGTATTGTTTTACGTTTTCTATTGTTTTGGAAACAATTAAATATTTTATAACTTTACATCGAAAAGTTGAGTTTATATTATATTTCAGACACAACAAATAGTATAAAGTAACTGCAGACATATATTTTTTCGTCTAAAGATTACTTTCATGAACACGTGAAAACTGATATGAGGAGTTTAACGTGACATCGTGATATTTTACCTCATATCAATATTATCATGTTATTCTTTTGATTTTTATAAGTGATAATCCAGCCATTAAAAAACTTAATAATTTTACTTCTGTAGCCATTTTATAGAATTATTGGCTATTTCGACTTTCTTTTTAGTTGCTTCGTCTCTTCGTTTCAACTCTTCTTTATTTCTTAAAAGGAAAAAAAGTTTTTCAGGTAAATAAGATCATTGTAAAATCATGAAAATAACAGTCTTGATGCAGAGATTATTCGAGTAACTAAATATGAAATTTGTCTAAAACATTTTAATCTAAATAAAACATTTAGCAAGATAAAAAATGTTACAAAACAAAACGTGTAGTTATGCTTTATATTTTCTTATTTCCTAAAAAAATGTATAATCTTATATCTTTAAATCAACAATTATGTCCATGTAAATGATAAAAAGGGAATGATAATAATAATAGTAATAATAATAATAATAATAATAATAATAATAATAATAATAATAATAATAATTATAATAATGATAATAACAATAATAATAACGCAACACACTGGAAAGCTTGCCCGCTTGAATCATGACCATAAAACAACAGTTCAAATTAGTAATAAGTTGTCTATTTTTACAAAGAAATAAACACTGACAAAGTATTTTCTCTTCTGAATAAACTTTAACTATACAAGTCTTTTCAAAGTATTCTCCCATATTGCATGTATACTTATTTACGGATTCTGAAAGCTTATTTGTGACCTTGACCATTTACATTTATTCTACATTGTTGTATAATGACATACATTTTGCGAAACAGTTTAACTTTAACATCAGTTTAAAAGATACATGAGATGGACGAAAACTGAGTTTTAATTATATACAACAAATTTATTCTGGTATAAAAATCTATTTTATTAAACTAGTCCGGACTAACGCTTACCATTACTTTTTGTATATAAGACCCAATTATGTAGTTATTCAACTACAAATAATAAACTCTATAGAACTAAAATATCAATCAATATTAAGACATTTATACATGTATAATTATGTTCCGTTTATATAATTGCCAGCGGGCCCATTCGCGATTCCGTCAGTGGTGCGACAAAAAGTATCGGAAGGGTTGGGACGTTAACTATTGTTTGACTGTAGTCGATGCATTGCGCATGTTAAGGTTAGGTGATGAAAAGAAACAGACCACGCGTATGGTGTGCGTTCGACTAATTTTATGCGTTTTCAAGTTGAATAACTGTGACTGTGACAAAAGGAAGCGTCAGAACACTGCTTGAATGGACAAGGTATATTTTTGCAAAATATTCCTTACGGTTTTATGCTACTAAATATTATCGCGTGTCTGACAAAACCATCAAAAAGCCCGCTCAGACTCAGGTTAGTGTACTTTTTATTTCATGGTCAATATCATATTATCTAAAACTCTGAATTGAACAAAACAAACATTGTGAAGAATAGTAACTAATAGAATGTTGGACCGTATGTAATTTTAGTGACCGCCCAATCAGCCACAAACATTGAACAGACCACACTCAGCATGCAGCGTCGGGTCATTAAATCTTTGTTATCTGACTGATTGGTCAATATAATTCATTGTAATCACATCGTAGTGACAAAATAATCAAATTTGCTTACCTTTTTATTTTTTCAGATAATTCGTTTTGAAGGCTTTCTATCTGCCTACAAAATAATCATTTATTTGGTACGATATTATTATTTATGCAGGTTCCCAAAATACGTGTAAGGAAGTTGAGACAAAGTGATAAACGTTTCATTGTTAAAAAAAGCAATAGACAGGAGAGACATAATTTTCTATAATGTATCATTATTGATTGATAGATATGTAATACGCTATCAAAATATATATGCAAACTTACGTGCTATCATGTTATCTGAAACTATAGCACATTCTTAAACATACGTTTGCTAATCTCTTTGAAAAACATGTTTTCTTTGTTTTAAATTTGAATACTCCCCTTACTTTATCAAACCGAGGTATACGAGAAAATCGATTGCATTTACAGCAAACATATGTGTACTACAATTATAAAAAATAAAGACATTAAAGCCCACATGAAATTTACAGTTGAAACATTACCGCTTTTTACTCTGTAACTCTCTCTCTCCATGTTCATGTTTCCTTTTTAAATCTTCGTATCTAAAACGGTAATACATTTTACATTAAACGTTAGTTGATCACATAAGCATGTTTTCTTGTGATATAAGATTATCTTGTTATTTAAAAGATCTACAAGTATTTATGGTAGGTGTATTGCTGGTAGGTGTATTACGTAAAATACAAACATTTTGGTCAAACATATATTGTTACAGACGAGCATGATACAATATCATTTTATTTAACTTATGTTTAACGTCTTTATGTTTGATTGTATGTAATATGGCCTTAAAAGGTGATTATCGCATACAAACAAGAAAGGATATCGATCTTTCACATTGTTGTAATCACACATTATACAAAATCAGCCACTTCTTGAGAGTCACTTTCTATTTCAATATCAAGACTGACAATAATAAAGTTAGTGTATATGAATAAAATTTGTTTTCAATTCCAAAACATTCAGGTAATGCTAGAACGTTTTTTTACAACGATAAGTAACCTTCTGGCTTAGAATTATCGTCAACATTCATATACCACCCATATGTCTTTTACTCTTTTTTTACAAACATCATTACAAATACATCTTCATATTGTTTGCCTTATTCAAGCCAAATAAAGCCGAATCCGTTTTTTTTCTAAACTTTTTTCACTAATGTAACCCAATTAACATATGAATTTTCATCATCATTGTGCATTATTATGTAACTTATTTTCTTTTACAATTCGTTGATTATGTATCTTTATATATTTCATTTTCAAAGTATTAGCTTTAAGTAGGTACCTAACGCAATCACCTGAAACAATGATTTATTTAGGTAAATTAAATCTTTTACAATCATTATAATGTATACCTAAATCAAATTCATTCAGACCCCAAATTTCTGATCTGTACAATGGTTCAGGACAAATCTTCTTATTATTTTTATAAATGTTAAGTTGTCGTGTATACATATACAATGAATTTAAAATGGATATGAACACATGCGTTGCTTTTGTACACACACAGATTATGATCTGTAGAATTCAAAGAAAACTTGTATGCCAGTATTAAATCTTGAAGAAGGTTCATCCCTCGGAAAGATTAATTACAATAAAACTCCATAATAATTGTAGACTAGATTAAATCTGTCTAATAAAATAGAGTGAAATAAGAATCCCTAACGAAAGACCAACACGACACAATTGAAAATGTTGCAGGCTCGGTTTGTTTGAGCCTGTTCATGGACGGTACTGTCAAGTGCAAACTACCGTCGACGCCCCCTAGCACCGGCTTAAGCAGAATTCAACATTTTACATGAACTGGTAAAATTTAAAATTTTGAAACATCCGCAGATGTGTAAACCTCCATAACCATTAGTATCAACTTCTTATCTTATCCGTAAAAGTCAAGTTATTAATAACATATTAAGAACTATACATTGGATACAATATTTCGAGGGTCTTTTGAATCATTGTATTGCTGATGGCAATTATGTTGAACCCATTAAAATAGATGTACCAGATTTTGAAATTGAACATCGTACCTTAATTATTCTTTAATAGCGGTTCATGTTTGTCTAGATGTTATATTAACAATATAACTTGTACATCTATTATAAAATGTGTTAAAGTTTTCACTTATCTTGTTTACATTTTGAATCATGTAACAATTTAATATATCTTTTGCTTTGCATAGACATTTTCAGGTTCTGTTAAGATCTACGTTGAAGATAGCTTCGCAAATCTTTATATTTTAGCTTTTCCAATATTTAGTTATCTTAATGAAACCATCTCTGGAAATTCATAATAAATTTTGGGCAAAATATCAAATAAGGTTTAGTTTTTCAAAGTTTTCTTAAGATTTGATTCTTTTGAAATCCTTGGTTAAAACATATTTATTTAAAGTTACATTAAAAAATTTTCCATAAAAACAGAAATAGCGACATTTCGTTAATAAATTGGGTTTCATATCGACTCCAGATCTTATTTTGGTGTCCAGACAACCAAAATGAGTTTTATAAGCATAAAAAATGGACAAACTCATTGTGGCGAAATCGGAAGTACAATATCTGTTTGCATGATAAACTCCGCCTTCAAATCATCCGTACATCAATTATATTAAATCAACAAACATTACTATATGTAGCAGTCCTAAGGTATATTTCCGCACTGTAACGGATTTTTTTATACAAATTCAATCTTTTTTTATGAGATGATTACTTTTTACTGAACCTCAGGCCTAGTGCACCGTGAAGTTAAACGGTTGAAATGCGTTTTCACAAGAAAATCTCATATTTGTTGTGTTCCAGATAGCAGTTATAACACTGTGACGTAGCGCATACACAAGCTGATTATAATCTTCATTTGCATGTTAAATTCGTATACGAACTTTAGTGTTACCGTGGGGTTTTCCGTTTAAAATCCTTATTAATGAACAATATTTGATGAGATTCACAACAATACTATTAAAAAGGTTAATGAATCTGTAGAATGCTTGGTTTTTAGGCCGACGGCAAAATAATTTTACATATTTATTTAGTGTAGCTTTAAGCTCGATTGCAAAACAAGTTCTTGCAACTTATATTTATCACTTTCGAGTCCGCTTTCTTGAACCAACCAGTACTGGTGTCATATGAAAAACAAGGTCGTAACTCGAGGAGGATTCGAACGTATGATCTCTGGATTAAGAGTCAGACACCTTAATCACTAGGCCATCGATCCATAACCATCAGTACAAGACTTTCAGAAACCAAACAATAATCAATAAAATTACGACCTTGTCTTGATGAAATCGTTTAATGACCTACCTTTTGTCATTTTCGTTTTTACCTTTTATCATGTATAAAGAATAAATATAAAATACCGACCACAAGATGACTGTCGCCAAGAACAGGACAATAAAATGTCATAATGATGCTCTTAACAGACAACGATCTACTGAAACAAAGTAATTCAACTAACTCGATCATGACTTTAGATCGTTTATTAAAAGTAAATTTGTATTCAGTATATATACTTGTCAGACAATCATCCTACGTAAAATACGTAAAAGACTTTATCATAATAGGACGGAAATTCAAGTGTCGGGAGGTATACAAACTTATTTCTTTTATCTCAACTTGTATTTGTAAAAGACGTTAAAAATATTTACAATAATTCCAATAGGGCATTTTTTAGCAATATGTTTATGTTTAACAAATTCATTTCTACAGTACATGGATAAATCCCCTTTGCTCTGCCATGTTTTGCTTTTTTATCACTGGTAGACAATTCAGTATAGTATTATAGTATTCCCATCCAGATATTTTTTTTTTTTTTTTTTGTGTTTCTTTTATTGTTTCTTTCCAATGTTTTAAACACTCGTAAGCCGATAATGGCATAACCTTTTAGTTACCTAGGACGTCTGTGCCTTAAAACTCATTTAACTTTTCCCAAAACTTAATATTTAAATGTTTCATTTCGGGTCTTGGCCGGATTGCTAGCAAATTTATTTTTTTTCGTTAACTCTCTGTTTGCCAACAAAATTATTGCGGTCATTTTTACTTGTTATTTTTATTGGATAATGTAATTATCTTTTTGCAATAGCAAATGGTCTCGAATGTTCCTGCTTGTCATTATAAGATCTGATTTAAAGTTTTACCCTGAAATTACAATTGCCAATAATACAAACCTATCCGGAAATTATAACAACATTCTACATGTATGTTCACCACTTGAAAATATAGTCTGTTAAAGTTAATCTTTTTCGGACAAAGGGCCAATAAAATCCGATAATGTTAACAATATGTTCCGACAGAATTATAACGTCATATCCTGTATACGTACAACGATGCTATATATATAAAATGTTACTTCACATATATTATTGGCTGAAATGTTGACTTAAATGCTGTCAACAATTAAGTTTGCAAAACGTATTGAGGTTTCATATAAGGATACTTTGATCAATCCATTGATAATTATCTCAAATAGTATAATGAAAACATGCACACATAAAATTTCAATTTGAGACTTTAAATACACCCTTTAGTTTGATCGTCCAAAATAAAATCTAGAACTATAACTAACTGTGAATAATACCCCCGCAAGACTGCTTCGAAAATGAGTAAGTTACTTGTAACAGAATACCTTGTAAAAGAATTGAAATTGAGTTATGCTTGTAGGCAATTAAAGATAGGTGTGGTTCTTGAATGTTGCATTTCCTTTTACTGTGGTTGACCATTAATGAAGTTTTATTGAAATACTCTGTAATAAGTCCAGCAAGAGTAACACTTCTTAAGCACTGCACTACCTCTCATTGCGCTTGACCATTGTATGAAGTTGCATTGAATTCTAAATATTAGTATTTAAGTTATGCACCGGCCAAGGAAAATGAAAAAATGGCAATAACAGTTTAAATACTGAAGAAGGGGTTATGGTTATTGTACATTGAACTTCCTATTATTGCGCTTGTCCATTGTATGAAGTTGTATTGAATTCCAACTACTGGTTTTCAAGTTATGCACTGGACAAAAAGTAACAAATGGCAATAACTATGTAATTAGTCCAAATAGAGATATGGTTCTTGTGCACTACACTTCCTCTTAATGATCTTGATCATTGTATGGAGTTGTATGAAGTTGTATTGAATTCCAACAATTAGTCTTCAAGTTATGCTCCAGACAGAAAAGCAATGGAAAAGTAACAAAGGGCAATATCTCTAACTTTATATAGAGTTATGGTTCTTGTGCACTGAAATTCCTCTTATTGTGCTTGATCATTGTATGGAGTTGTTTTGTATTTCAACCAGTAGTTTTCAAGTTATGCTCCGGGCAAGGAAAAGTAACAAAGGGCAATAACTCTGTAATCAGTAAAGACCTGAAAGTGCTTGACCATTGTATGAAATTGTATTGAATTCAAACCATTAGTAATCAAGTTATGCTCCGGACAAGGAAAATGCAAAGGACCTCTGGTCCGATCGACCATATAACCGACAACATGGTGATTCCTATATACCCCGTATAAGTTTCGGGGGTATAATAAATAAGTTAGAACTAAGGAAAATTATTTAAAAAAAATACGAAGACAGAATTATCATTCTTAACCACTGTACTTCTCTTCAATGTCTTTCTCTCAAAGAGGTTCCATGTTCCTGGGCAATCGATGTATAACGGAAGGAGGTATTGTTGAACGAAAACAATATACAATTTTCAGACTCACTTTGATTTATATTGTTAATGAGAGATAATAATATGTGCAACATAATCAGTTTGGACGTAAGTGTTTTAGAATCATCATCACAAAAGTAACCATAATCAGCCAACACTGCATAATTGAAAACGGTACAAGCTCGGTTTGACTAATTGTTTTCATGGACGATAGTGTCTACCTTCCAATCCCCAGGCAACAGTTTAAGCATGAAACAAATGAAAACTGTATTTATATTTGGTATTGCCATGCAACTTTAAATATAATCCATTTGTGTCACTTCAAGTTAATGAAAGTATGTGCCCTAAACGAAAATTCATGAAAATAAACAGAATAAACATCAGTGTTTTACAAGACTGCATATCAAGGAGACCATTAAAAGTATACATGATTTTAGTACAGTCATGTACAATTTACAAAACATAGACATAATTGCATTATGTTTGTAAAACATTTAAATTTTGTTACCTTTCAGTTTGTTTAGATAAGTTATTCTTCAGGAATGATATTTGTCTGTAAAAGAAAAAATAATCTGCAAAAAATGAATGTCACTCGGTCGGCATGCTATTATGAAAACGATATTAATGTTTTAACAAATCTGCAGACATCTGTTAAATAGTATTAATCTATGAAACAGTTCAAATCAAGATTTCAGTCGGTGAAAAATAGTATTAATCTATAAAACAGTTCAAATCACGGTTTCAGTCGGTGAAATGGGTACTTTGACGAAAATCTAATATAAAATGTAGCTTATTAAACGAAATGTAGTAGTTTTCGTCAAAATTGTGTAAATTGTGCTGAAAATGAAATAGATCTACAGCTAAAGTATTACATTCATGATGTTCGTCTTAATCAATAATAGTACAATATGAAAACATAGGCAAATAATTTCACTGCAAACGAGTGTAAGAAAATGCAATGTTACAAGCAAAACTGCTGTCCAACTTGTATTTGTATTCATACAAGGTTATTGCAATTAAATTGCATTATTAAATAATCAAATCATTTCATGACACCTGACAACCAAAACCTTCGAATGAATATTAATAGGTCGCTACTCGAGGTGGTATTTCTTGCAAGTTAGGCAATATCTATCGTGACATGATTAAGTAGAACATTGATTAGACTGAACTTACTTTTGGTTTTCTATGTCTTTGTTAGCCATTACTTTGTCTAACACTGAATGTTCCCTTTTCACTGTTGCAAGATTAATTTGATTCAATTCATTTTCTTTTGTCAACCTTTCACTAAATTCATGTAGACTATTTCGTTCTGCTTCAATTTCTAATACTTTGACTCGCAGATCTTCGTTTTCTTTAGAAATTGTTTGACATTTCTCGCAATCTTTCATTAGAATCTTTAAATCCGTTTGCCTAAAACGATAAACAAACACATGTATATACAACGTTTAGGAAGATAAGTGCAGGAAACTACGCACAGAAATAGTTGCGTGAAGATAGATGACAAAAACGGCCAAATATCTTCAGTTGAGTTTTATAATGAAATACAAAATAAAAACGTATCTTCAGTTGAATAAAAAATGATTAATGTAGGCGTGGTAAAATAAAACTCGATCATAGCAAACTCACCGGGATCTTGACATTTACGCTACGAGAGGTGTTCATTTTTTATGAAACGCGATCAAAACGCGTTTAAAGATCTCATAGCTAACAAAAACTCGTTCAAAATCATAATTTTACGTACATAAGTGTACCATACATATACCTTTATCATTTGAATTGAAAATTCAAACTGAGTAGACCAAAAATAAAAGAATTAGTTGAGGGCATTATTTTAGGATTTTGAAGCAAAAATGTCCTTCAGAAACATTGTTAAACAAGCAAAACAGATGATACATAATGTTTCTGTTGCTACTGTGCATCGCATTTAACATGGGAAAGGTATTTGAAATAACACAAAACAGGTAAAAAGGGTTCCTTTACCAAATGTCGCACGGCAGTTCCTACTGATGTCGTTCTTAAAATCCGTAATATGATTACTTTGGTGAATCCTCCCACACAAAGAGAAATGACAGCTAACGATGGGGTGTAACTAGGCATTGTCAACAAGGTAACAGCAAAATTCTTAAAGAAAGTGATTGTTCCTAGGCTAAGAGAGGTCAAGATTTTGAAACGACCTGCTCGATCATTGCGTCTATATCTCCGCTTTAACTGTGGAAAATGGAAAAAAACGTTGTCGTCACAGATGAGACTATGTTATGTATTGGCGGTAGTTACGATCGACGTCGTGTTTGCATTGTTCAAACAAATGAGACATATTTAAAAATCTGGAGTTTGTAAGATGCATTTGCACCTAGATTTATGGTTTGGACTAATGTTAGTTACAACGGCCAGACATCTCTAATTTCTAACAATAAAGGGGGAAAAGTCACTGCAGAATATTACATAGACGAAATTCTAAAACCATTTCTCAAAAAGATGTTCGGTGACTTTTTGATGTGGAATTCCATCAAGAATCGGCCGCTAAAATAACTATTAACTTTCTCAACAAACGCAAAGTGAATTACATAGCAGCTGCAGAATGGATCCAAAAAGCCCAGATGCAGCTCCCATGGACTCTTGTATATGGAGTATACTGAAACGTAGGCTACAGAAACGCAAGATTGATACCTTGTCCGATCTTAAATAATTAGGCAGGTTTTAAAACTCTTTAATAATAAATTGAACACCTCTCGTAAATTCGAAATTTGTTATACACAATATAAAGAAATGATATCTAATGATATCTGTATCACAGTTCGAAAGTGATTTTTATTATTTATTCCTAATATCATCATAATTGTTTTACATATATAAGCTGTTGCAATATTAGTCTTAATTCGACACACGAAATAAAACGCTTTAACGATAATGAGATATAATACAATTCAATACAATATCTTTATTGCTTCATAGGCCACCAGCCCAAAACAAAACATAGTTTACAAGAAATTTATTTACATATGTACAGAACAGTGTAAAAGTATTATGGTGATAGTAGTATTATTTAGTCAAATACAGTAATATATCATCGAAATTCACTGCAATCTAAATAGAGGAAAATCTTTCTATAACGTTTGTATGTAATAGAAATTGTAATTGAGAATGAATTTGATACATTTTCATCAGTTTAACCTTATCCGAAACAAAATGTAAGGCAAAACATGCTAAAACGTAGTTTATCGCAAACTCAAATGTATACATTGAAACATTTTGAATCAACAGTAATAGAATTAATGTAGAAATTGAATCATATTGCATTTACAATTTGCACACGTTTGCTAACAATGTATAAATAAAGTATAAATGTTCCTTCAATTGAAGAAACCGACTCTTTGATTTGTATCAATTTTAGTATGTGTTCTATAAGTTTAACTTAATTTCATTTAAAAGTAAAGTTTTCATATACTTAGATGTCATATAAATATTGGTAGAAATTAATTTAACCAATTTTTTTCAGATCTGAGTCAGTATTCATGAGCATGTTTAACTTATTAATTGATGGTGAAATCCAATATTTTCTAGGAAAATACAACTTCCTTAGAGAGCTATATGAATTGCCAACAAGTACAAAGTGATATTCCGTTTCATTACAATGGTCTTCTTGACAGAGTTCGCAAACTCTTTCTTCACTATCAATGTTTCTATATCTTCTTTTTCCTATATACTTAAGGCATGATTTGAAATTCTTACTTTGGCTAAGGCACTTCTAAATTTCCTTATTTTAACAATCTCCAAATATTTTTCGTGTCCAAAGTTTGTTTTAAAGTTAGCGTAAAACTGTAGTTTTGAACTAATGTGTATATTTGACGACCATTCTTGGAGAAATTGGTCTTTTAATCTTTGTGTGAACGTATGTATAAAACAATTCATTAGAAACACACTGATTCTGCTATACGTATCCAAAGCAGTTTCTTTAAAGTAAGTTTTTTTTTATTTCTATGGCAAAATTGTTTTGACCTTTTTCATCCAAATTCATAAGCATAAAATAACACTTTTTAACTAGCCGATTTTATTTCATTTTAACAATCTTTAACCAGTACTCTTTACATTTTTTCGCTGCTGCTATGTACAGATGGTGCCTTCCACAATCACCTAGGACAGCCATATTGCTTGCTCTCTGTTTCACACACACATATCTTTTACAGGCATAATTGTGCACAGTTTCAATTGATTCTTGGCGACGTGTTCCCCATATTTCCGCGACGTACAAAAATACAGGGGTTCCTTTAGTATCAAAAATATTGAAATAAACATGTCGTGTTAATTGACCATACTTATATAGTTTGTTTAGTATTGATATTAAGATTATTTTGGCTTTTAAAGATTGTTCTTTTTGCCATATTATACATTGAGTTTCGTTGCGTAAAATTTAAACCGACGTATGAAAAGCAATTTTCAACTTCGATTGGCTTACTATTGTATGTCAACTTTTCATGTTTAGTTAATTTTCCACCATTTTTGAAAACTAATATCTTAGTTTTTTGGTATTACATTTTAAATCTTTTTCAGCACAAAATACTTCTAATAAGTTTAGAAGTTTTTGAAGACCTGATGCAGTGTCTGCTGTCAATGCCAGGTCATCTGCAAATAGTAATGATAATACTTGTGTCTGATCTGGGAAAAGTTGTATACCGGTATACCCTGAAGTGTTGATTCTGTCAATAAGCTCGTTGATGAAGAGGATGAATGAAGTTGTGCTAGCCAAGCACCCTTGCTTTAATCCATTCGGGCAATTGAAGTCGTTATTTGACCAGTATTTGTTTTGACAGATGTTTTGACGTTTTTATAGATACTTTGTGGTGCATCAAAAAGTTTGCCACGTATACAATTCTTTCTAAGGACCAACCATAACATTTCTCTATTAATAGTGTCAAACGCCTTTTCAAAATCAAAAAAAGCCACATAAAGTTGTCCTTCCTTTGTTGATAATTGTTTTTGTATAAGAGCATTTAATATGAAAGCGTTGTCAATGGTGCTATATCCTTTTCGAAATCCAGCTTGCTCTTCTGCAATTTTATCGTATACATTGATAAAAAAATTTAGTCTTCCAGTTAGTATACCTGTATATATCTTTCCAAGTATATTTAACAATGAGATTCCACGAAAATTATTCGGATCGTTAATATCTCCCTTTTTGTGAATCACTAGAATGTTTGCTTTATTCCAATTTGCTTAAAATTCACCGTTTTCGAACAGTCTATTATATAAACTTGCTAACAATGTTAGAACTTTTACAATACTACTAATAACAAATTCTGGTATGAGTTTGTCTTCACCATCGCTTTTCCAGCTTTTAGCTTTTTAACGGATCGTAATACCGCTTCATCTGATATCTCGGAATTAAAAATGAATTGATCTAGGTCATCAAAGTCTTCATAAAGCTTGAAATCTTGTAGGATAATATTTTCACCTGTGATCGTGCTTTCAAATTATCGCTCAAAGTGTGTTAACCATTCCTCATCACTTATTTTATTAACCACTTTTCTTTTACTTTGTGTCTTTTTTTATCTTATTCCAAAAGCCTTTAGAGTCATTTGTCTGTTCAATGAGCTTGTCTACCTCTTTATTATAGAATTCCGGTTTAATCTTTTCACAGTATTTTTTAAATATTGTTTTAGCCTCAATATATGCTTCAAGGTCATTCTCACATCTACTTTGTCTATATACTCATAGTCGGTACTTTAGACGCGGTTTTTCTACAGACACATGTCTTATCCATTTATCTGATTTTGTAAAATTTCAAATGGATAAAGGTAACATGGTGGGAATGGTTCTCCTTGATTTGCAGAAAGCGTTTGACACGGTCAATCATAGTATTTTATTAATGAAACTGAATGCAATTGGCCTCAGTTCTGATGCTGTCCGATTGTTTCAATCTTAACTTTCAGATAGGCAACAGTTAGTTCAGGTATCTGGTGTTTATTCCAGCCAGGCTCCCGTCACTTGTGGGGTACCCCAAGGATCAATATTGGGCCCCCTTCTATTTTTAATTTATGTTAATGATATGTCGGCTGTTGTCAGAAACAAACTTTTATTGTATGCTGACGACTCTGGGATTCTTGTGTGTGGTAAAAGTACTTCCGACATTGAATCTCTTTTATCACTTGAGATGGAGTATGTTAGTGAATGGCTTGTCGATAACAAGCTTTAACTTCATCTTGGCAAAACAGAATCTATTCTGTTTGGTTCAAAACCAAGGTTAAGGTCAAAAGGCAATTTAAATATTTCATGTAATGGTATAAATATCTAGACTACCAGCTCAGTTAAATATCTCGGTGCAACTTTGGACCAGAACCTTTCCTGTGAAGAAATTGCACGGTCAGTGGTTACGAAAGCAAATGCCCGGCTGAAATACTTGTATCGGAAAAGTC